CCAAAAAAGAAAAGAAAAGACAAAAAAAAATGCTTGTTAATACTTTTATTTAATATATATGCTTGTTAATACTTTTATTTAAAGTGCTTTTATTTTTTTAAAGTTATCTTTGCCCAATTTTCTGTTGGGTTTTCAGAAATGGATTTTTCTAAGTAGGTAAGTAGAACATCCTAAGTACCAAGATACATCTTTGAACAAGTTACAGAAAGGTGTTCTCATGGAACTTATGTTATAGAGTGAAGAGAAAAATCAACAACAAAAAATCAGGTATAAACATATCAACTTCAATAATTCTCCCAAAGTTTTAGAATACATTTTTTTCTATTTGAGAATAGCTGGCTGTTATTATGTAATAGCTTCCCATTTTTTATTACTATCACAAAGGAGTAAAGCATTTTTGAGTAATTATTTTATTTTATTTTTAAGAAAGGTTTTTTGTTGTTGTTTGGTTGGTTGATTGGTTTTTGCTATAGGGCATATTCACTCTACTGGAGAGTTGCAGAGAGAGAAGGTGAGGAATCACCCCCCAGATGGAAGGGTCACACCACAATCCCTTCTCTTCCATTCTCCTTTCAAGATTTTGGGCACACACACATTTGTGTCCAGTGTGTTTCAAGCTACCAGGTCTGGGACTTGAACTGCAGTGGATCATGTGGGAGTCTCACTTTCTTTCTCTCTGTCTCTCTGTCTTTTTGGTGAGCTCACATGCCCTATAGCAAAAACCTCTCCAAAAAAAAAAAGAAAGAAAAAGAAAAAAAATATATGCTTTTAAAAAAAAAAAAAGAAAAAGAAAAAAATATATGCTTGCTAATACTTTCATTTAAAGTGCTTTTATTTTTTAAAGTTATTTTTGCCCAATTTTTATTTTTTTAAACTTACCTTTGCCCAATTATCTTTGCCTTGAGTTCTCTGCCACTTGCTGGCCCCAATAATTATATATTTTTGCTGTTAATAATTACAAGTGATCATATTTTGAATAATTAATGAAAAATATAATTGGATCTACAAAAAAAAAGAGAAAGCAATGCATATGATTAGGATGTATTGAGAGGGGATTTCAAGCTAACTGATGAGGAAAGACTTTCAGAGGAAGTGATATTTTTCTCAAGATATGATTGACAGTAACATATGGTAAAAGAGCATCATTTCAGAAGATGGGAACAGCTAACATGGGGACATGGGTGAGTTCGTAGTTTTCCAGAAAGAAAAAGATGGCCAAGAACCTGGAAAAAGTCAGGGAGAAGTAGGCAGAGATGGTGTTGGAGAAGTTAAAAGGCTCAGCCCGTACATAGACTGGTCTAGGTAAAGAACTTTCAGTTTTGTTTTAAGCATTTCAGGAAGCAACTGGAACTCTCTGGAAAAGAGTGACATCATCTAATTTACCCCCTTAATAGTCCATTTTGGTTGCTAGGTGTGTAATGAATGTTGGGAACAATTATGGAAGCAAGAAAACCCACAAGGAAGCTAGGATGATTGTCTAGGTAAGAGCTACTTAGTCTAGAGGGTGTTGTTGATTGTTGACAGCCCACCCAGATTCTCTTTACCCACTTAGTACACCAGTCTCTCAGCTGCTATGAGAGTAGGGATCTATCAATTCCAACTGCTCCCTTCTTGGGCAACTAGAACACCCCTTTCCTCTTTTTTTTTTTTGGAGAGATTTTCACTGTAGGACGCGTGCGCTTGCCAGACAGACAGAGAGAGACATAGAGACAGAAAGCGAGAAATCACCCCCCAGGGGGGATGGTCACACCGCAATCCCTTCTCCTCCATTCTCCTCTCAGGATCTTGGGCACGCACGCACACGCGCCCGGCATGAGTTTTAAGCCACCGGGTCCGGGACATGAACCATGGTCGACTACGTGGGAGTCCAGCGACATAGCCATTACGCTAACTGCTGGTTCCCAACACCCCTTTCCTCTTGTAGACATTAACTATTGACTGAGTGACAAAGGGGCCCCCTTGCACAAGGATGCACCTAATTCTATGATATAATGCACTCTAGGACTTCCTTATAGGACCAATCTGAAGCTCATCTCAGCCAAGATCGCATTTCTGCTTACCTCTCCCCTCTTGTCCTTCCCTGCTTCTATTACTCATCCTCTCCTCAATAACATATTATACTTGAATAATAATCTTAACCCTAGGTTCTGTGTCTGGGAAATCTGATTTAGAGTGGCAAGAGCTATAATAGAGGAGAGAATAGAGTAGAAATATTCTAGAGGTAGAGTCTACAAAAATGGGTTTGGAATGTAAAAAAAAAAAAAGATAGACATCAAAATAGTTCCTAAATTGAGCAATTTTCTGGGTAAAGGTACTGTTTCCTAATAGACGATTTCTGGAAAGAGCAGATTTACAAGGTGGAGAAGGGAAAAAACATTCTATTCCAGAAATGTGGTTTGAAGTGTCTATAAATGAATATGTTGAGTAGGCAATTGAATATGCTAGTCTTTCATGCAAGGAGAAGTTTAATCTGAAGATCTATATTTGGGTTTCAGCTGTAGTATTAAATTATATATAAAGGTGTGTGACTTAGAGTGAGAGCATAGAGAAAGAAGAGAAAATTTTCCAGGACTGAGTTATGGAATGGCAGTATTTAGAGACTGAGCAAAAGGAAAATCTCCAGGACTGAGTTATGGAATGGCAGTATTTAAAGACAGAGCAAAAAGAAAATCTATTGGGTAATCAGGGAAGTCATGATGCATTTTTGCAGAGAAAAACATAGAAAAGTACATCATGACTTTTCCGATGACCTTAGTAAAAAACATTGAGGAGTGTTAAGTGAGTAGTGAAGAAATCAGGAGAAAACTGTGTTGCAGAAATCAAGATTATGCAGTTTCAAAGAGGGTTTGGCCAACTATTGAATGAGCTGAGTTATTGATGAAGATGGAGACAGAGAAAAAGATCATGGGATATGGCAATGGGGAGATTTAGTAAGAAAAGATTTCAATAAGAGAAGATTCTGAGGTAATGGGTATGGATGTGTCCTAATCCACCAACACGTATAATTAAATGTATGCAATTTTTTTTTGCATAGTAATTATACCTCAATAACAAAAAGAGAAAGGGATTATTAAAAAGGAGAAAATGGGAGATGAAGAAGCACATACATTGACCTTCGCAACTATTATTGTTGCAAGCAAGAATAGAATGAAATAATAGCTCAAGTGAGACAAGTAGTCTAAGAATTTTTCCATTTGGATTGATACCATTAGAAGGTAGAAATTGATTATTTGAGAAAGGGTGGGTGGGGGAACAATAGTAGGATAAATTCCTTGGATGGACAAGAAGTGATAGGATTTAGTGTCCTTGAGCAGGGGTTGGCTTTTTCCTGAAGTAAACACATACAACAAAGTTTACTTAAAACTGCTACAGAAAGGATGACAGAGAATATAAGTGCCAAGAAGGTTCATAAATGTAGTGTGTGGCTGACTTTGTTTTTGTCTGCTTCTGTGCTCTTACTGAATTTGATATAAGGATCCCCAGGAGAGACAGAGAGTGAGAAGGGATAAGTAATTTGGAGATTTGGAGAGAAAAGACTAGAGATAAAATAATCATGTTTGATACTAAGAAAATTTATTTATGGGGTGATATAGCATAATTTCCTTGTACTATTGAGTATCCCTTTTGGTATGTGAGCTCATAAATCACTTTTTCTTTAGTTTTACCAGAGGGTGTGTGTACACTTGCTGGGGAGAGAGAGAGGAGACCCTCCCCCACACACACGGAGAATGGTCATACTGCAATCCTTTATTTAGCCTTTGTTTTTCCCTCCTTTAGGGATTTTGGGCACATATACACATCCATCTGGTATGTATCTCAAGCTGCCAGTTCTAGGATTCAAACTGTGCAGTTAGCCATGTGGGATCCAGCTTCTTTAATCACTAGACTATGTTTAGGTGCTCATGTGTACACATGAAATAGGCTGGCTTTAGCTATAAGAAAATCAAAGAGAGTTAAAGAATTTACAAGAGACTGATTATGAAGATGGGCTATAAGAGTCAAACTGGGTTAAGAGGGAAATGAGAGGGAGGATGGAAGGAAAAACAGGATTAGAAGTTTCCATGAGGTTGAAGAAATGCTGCAGCTGGTGGTAGGAGGTAAACAGAGACTGGATGTTAGAAATATCTGTACTAACAATGTCAAAAGTATGACCATGGAAGTGGGTGGGTCACAAGAAATATCAAGGAAGGGAGGAGGTTGAGAAGCTTTGAGGACTTGGTAGTAGATGCATTATACACTTGGGGATGAAAATCCCCAAAGTTGCAGAAAGAATTAGGGACATAGAGGCTCCTAAAATGTGCACTACTTATCAGTGAAATAGAGAAATGAGGAATTGGTCAAGTGTGATATTTGTTTTATTTCATTGATTTCTATGGATTATTAGGTGTTAAAAGTGTATTTTGTTATAAAAATGTTATGAAATGATCAAAATATTAATAAAAGGCACTAATCTCCTGTAACCCATCACTGCATCAGAGTGATGGGTTGTCTAAACCCTGCAACTGTTTCTGGCCTGCTCCTCTCTGGTGGGCCAGGTATTCCACTTGCTTTGCTTTCTCAGTCTTGGTGGAAATGTTGTAGGGCTTTATATCACTAGGAGTGGCTGCCTCCTAACCTGGCAGCCAAATGAAGAGATCCTCAGATGAGTGGGCCTTCTCATGGTGCTGGCTGGCCTCTCTACCTTTCTGTTCTACATGATTAAAATCTAGGACAACCACTATCAATCATGGTTGTAAAATAAGGCAGCAATCCTGTATTTCACAAACCTTATTTCATTGGGAATGCCATAGCTCAGAAAGTTTCTCATTATTTTCAGAGTCGATTGATGACATTTGATTATTCTCTAATTCGTTCAGAGCATCCTTTAGTCTCCGAATGTTTACAAACGACTTGGAAAGTCTGTCCTCTCCATTCCTTGTGACTAACATGTCCTTACTCCAATTTTCCATTGCTCTTGCTACCACAGTTGTTTTGAATATCTGCTGATTGTTTCTGGACAGGGAATTATGGAGAGAGTGGAATGGATGCTTTCAAAGAGCTGGCTGCCCAAGAAGGCCTCTGCATTGCCCACTCAGACAAAATCTACAGCAACGCTGGGGAGAAGAGCTTTGACCGACTCTTGCGCAAGCTCCGAGAGCGGCTTCCCAAGGCCAGAGTGGTGGTCTGCTTCTGTGAAGGGATGACAGTCCGAGGACTTCTCAGCGCCATGCGGCGTCTTGGTGTCGTGGGGGAGTTCTCACTCATTGGGAGGTAAGTAGTCTATCTCTCTCTCTTTTTCTTTGTCTCATGCTTTTGTAAACTTCTGCATCCTTTTACACAGTGGACACAAAGCTGGTGAGCTGAGCAGTGCTGAGTTGTACAATTTCTGCATTTCTCTGATAGTGGGGCTATTGGCATCTTCCTGATATTCAAGAGAAGGGCATTCCATAAAACTGTGATGGCAAAAAGATGGGAAATTGTTTGCAAGAATGTATCTTGTCCAGAAAAATTATTCTTTTCATTTGCTTCCTCCACCCTCCAAGCAAACACTTTACCCTTCTTAGGCATTGACGTTTTCATGGAATGTTGATGGATGAAGGGCAGGAATGAAAATGGAACTTACGTATTAAGATTTGAAATGTGACGAGTATATAAAAAATCAGGAGACTTCAAAAGTTTTTGAAAATATAGAAATAAAGGACAAATTTATTTTGGTGAAAAAAATTTGAAACCCGTCACTAGTTTTTTTCATAATATACATTTCCATAAGCTTTTTGAAGACCTCCATCATTATAAGTGAAGGCATGTTGCTGAACTTTGGAACTTGATAATGGAATGGCCTGTCACACTGATGGGGGAGGTTAAATAGAGATGCTTCCACCATGTGATACCTGAAATAGCAGCAAATAGGGTCCAAAATCTCAGCCTTCTTTCTAGATTGTGTGTGCTTGCATGGGAATAGAATTTCAGTATCGTTCTGTTTTCAGTAGGGGTTTTGACCTGATACATACCTTGCTTAATTTTTCATCTTCTAATATTGTATAAAAGAAATATTCAGTTTTTGTAAAGGATTTACTGAATTGACCTGAGTGAAAACCTCTGCCAGTAACCCTGTCACACTCATCTTCCACATCTCTTTGCCTCCTGCCATCTCCCATACTGCCTAGATTACTATTGTATCACACCCATTGAAGAAGTACAACCACTGATCTTCTCTTAGAGGCAGGGGAGTAGTGGTATGGTCACCATTCCAGGACACTTCCCTTCTGTCCTTGTCTTGTAGTAATGACTGCAACAGTAGTAAGACTATTCTTGACATTATCTACAGTTAGAGCCATAAGACATTCTAAGGATTTTTGAGAAGATAGGATATAAATACAAATAAATAAATAAAGAAGGAAACAAATAGCTACCCTACAGGCATGAGGACTGGAGCCAAGGTCAAAGTGTAATTTAAGATTAAGAACATGGGTAAAATAGTCCAGTAGGAAAAAGATTTGTTTTGATGTCTTCAACATGATATGGTTGCTTGAAGTCCCGTAAAATGTTCATAAGAAAGCATGTCTTCTAAACAGTATTTAAAGAAGGAATGTGATTTCTTTTAGGAGTGAAAAGGATGTAAGCAGCATTTTTAAGGTGTTACACAGAATAATGTTCTTAATATATGCACCATGACAGATGGTGTACAGATATTCAGTCCTTTCCATTGCTTTTAAAAAATGACTTTTTTTTTTTTTTACAAAGTATGCTTGTTTTTGAAGAATGTCTCACGTATATTATTTTCAAAACAACAATAGTCTGGCTTGCAGAATTTATTCTCTTTAAGTTCTTCAAAGAGACTATCTTCATAGGTTCTGGAGATCTTGTACATATATGATAATATGTGAGCTTTGGGGTGTATACACTGCCTAATGATAGAATACAATTATATAGTGCTGTAATGAGTCATCGGAGTGTAGAGAATGCATTCCATTATCATTATTTCAAAGGTAGGTATGGATGGAAATGGTTGCTTAAACTTCTCTGGTTTTAAACTAACCTCTTTATAATTCCACTAAGCTCATATAGTCATTTCTGATATGTGATTGCCCATGAATCAATTGTCAGCTACTTGTGAAGTCAGCTTCTTTTACTGCTCTTCTTTGCCCTGCTTCTGCTGGGTTCCACTGACATATCCTAGAGAACAACCATCACCATGAACACTTGAGCTTCTGAAGATACTGCTCTCTGTACCAGTGGTCACTACCACTAATGTATACAGTCCTTGAGATGCCAAAGCTATACAGCTTCACTGTCCTTTATTTGAAATGTTTGGGATAAGAAGTGCTTTGGATTTCAGATTCTTTTTAGTATTTTGGAGTATTTGCATATACATAATAAGGATTCTTGGGAATAGGACCCAAGTCTAAATAGGAAATTCATTTATGTCTCATATACACCTTATACATTTTTATACAATATTTTCTGTATTGCAGCATGCTGAGTGCAAACTATCTCATGCGATCAAGTGTGGAGTTTTCTGACTGTGGTATCATGTCAGTACTCAAAAAGTTTTGGATTTTGGAGCATTTTCAATTTTCAGATTAGGGATGCTTGACCTATATTACATCATATCATCATATAGATTTTTAGGTATTGACTTACAACTTCTTCAACAGTAGGGACCAGGTTTAGTATAGTTCTTTATCCCTCCATCCATTAGGTGATTTTGTCGTTGTGCAAATAATGTAGCATGAACTTATACAAACTTAGGTGGTGTAGCCAACTACACACCCAGCCTATATAGTATAACCCATTTAATCTTATAGAACTGCTATTGTAGATGCAGTTTGTTGTTAACCGAAGTGTTGTTTTGTGGCTTATAACTGTAGTAGAGAGAGCAGATGGCCTCATTTCATGGACTCTGATTTCCTTTGATAGTTTACAATCAGTAAATTTTACCTGTTTTGGTTTGAGTTGATGTTCTTCTACTCTACTTCTAGAATTTGTTTGTAAACTGAAATTTACATTTGCCCATTTCTCTGTTTGTTGTATTTATCCAAGCACAAAATGCCAGCTTGCCTGGTAGATCGTAATTGAGTCTTAGAAATAGTTCCTGGGACCAGCAGTTAGCGTAATGGCTATGTTGCCGGACTCCCATGTAGTCGACCGCAGTTCGTGTCCCGGACCCGGTGACTTAAAACTCACGCTGGGCGTGTGTGCATGCGTGTCCAAGATCCTGAGAGGAGAATGGAGGAGAAGGGATTGCAGTGTGGCCATCCCCCCTGGGGTGGTGATTTCTCGCTTTCTGTCTCTATGTCTCTCTCTGTCTGTCTGGTGAGCGCACGCGCCCTATAGCAAAAACCTCTCAAAAAAAAGAAACAGTTTCCTTGGGGGTACCTTAGCTTTTCTAAATCCATTCTTTTCTGGGGTGAACAAGAGCATCCTGACTTTATGATGCCTAGCACTGATTTTATCCTCAGTGTCCACTCTGATTCCCTCAGCTTGGGAAACCTTAACAGGAAGTTTATATCACATCTTGTTAGGAGGCTCTGGCTAGGAATATTAGCTATATGATATTTATTTATATAGTTGCTGGCACCTTTATTGAATCATGACTATGTCTTCTAATTTCTCCACTGTTCAAAATAAACATCCCATAAATATAATAGAATCAATAACTTCGGATTTTATTCGCTCCTTACTTTATATTAACCAATCAAATTATAAATATATGGTATTTCAAATGCCTATTTCTTATTGCTGAGTCCTGGTTGTCAATCATCTTTCCTAACTTTGCGGTCTTTTTAATAGACAAACTTTCCATTCTCTGTCACTACAGGGAAACACTACTGTCATTATTTATCTAAAACTTGATCCAGAAAATGCTCAATCCATGCTTTTTCAGTTAAAAGCACAAAAAAAATAAAAACCACATGAAACACAAACTACAGGGAAACACTACTGTCATTATTTATCTAAAACTTGATCCAGAAAATGCTCAATCCATGCTTTTTCAGTTAAAAGCACACACAAAAAAATACATTAAACACAAATTTTAAAAATGGTTGAAATGGAGCATTTGTTTTATTTGCAAAAAAACAAGTTTCATTTGAAAATAAATGACATATTAGGTTTTTACTATGCAAGTATTAGGACCTTCTACCAGAACCTAAGCATAGATTTGGAAAACTGACCTCTATACCCTTGAAATATGATATATGATATGATATGGTATTAAGTTTCCATACAGCTTTTTTTTTTTTTTAAACAAAAATGAGTTATTTTAGATTTTACCTTTCCATTAGGGGGAAAAAGTGAGAAAAAAAACTAAAGTTTATAGCCTTCAGGCAAAATTGCAAAGGTTATGTGTTTTAAAGTAAATGGGAATTTTCAATGAAGCATGTCATCCCCCAAAATGGATTATAATCAACAGGCCAGCAAGGCTGATGAGCATTTTCTGACCTATAGTGGTCAAGACTTGTAGATACATTACCTGACCTTCTCTCGGCTCCCAAGGGCAGAATATGATTACACACCTGCTGACAGGCTTTCCCTTCCTTAAAACACTCCTATTCCACAGACAGATTAATGAAACCTTTGCAGATTACACTGCTAGAAAAAGATTCTAAGAAATGTGTTTTGAGGGGGAGAGAACATTTAATTTCAAGAACTCTGGAGAATAAACATTATTTATAAGATATTGACAGATGTTGTGAGCATAGATTCCAGACACAGAAATGCTGAGGATTTCCACAATAATTAGGGTGGCTGATTTGCATTAAAATTAGTAATTATTAATCATTCCTTTATACTAATAGCTATTCTCATGTTTCAGATAATGAAGATCTGAAAAAAGAAAGACTCCATTTTTGTGATCTTTTCTTGCCTTAGGGTGTTAGAAACACTGAGATATTTCAAGTGCCTTCTATATCTATAAAACATTGTGCAATTTGAACAGATGAAAAAGAGGGTCATTATATTTTAGTCCATTTTGTCTCTGAAGGTTGATCTGAGACAATAGAAAATTTATCTTAATGCATTTCCTTAGTTTGAATGATGATCTCTTCCCCACCTGGCTGCACATTATAACTAGAGGAAGCAGTTAAAAATACATATTCCCGATCTCACCCCAAGCTATCAATAAGATTTCTTGGTGAGGACTTTGAATCTTCTTCTTTCTAAAACCTTTAAATGAGTTGAATTTTAGAAACATTACCCAATGATGCCTATATCAGTGTCTTGTTCTCATGTGGCATTCACTATGAATGAACTGCTTACACCATGGACTT